CACTTTCGCGCGCCCAATATAGCAGATAACGATGAATCGTTGAGACCAGAGGATGACGGTACCTGAGCGAATCTTACGCACGCGGAAGATTTTCTTTCAAACTCACCCTCCCAACGACTCTGGCGAAATACAAGGCCTTAGCCGCTGTGGCCATCCAGTCGGGCCTATAGGACTTGGCAAGCTGGACTGTGAGGGCCTCTACCAAACGCCCACAAGCAGCATTGAGCACCTCCGAACCGCCATGCTGCTTGAGAAGAGTCGAAGGCCTGAAGGGAGGAGGAGGAGGTGAAGGAAGCACCAACCCTGACAGGATAGCGTACATGAAGACACATAGTGGTATCATGAGGTTGACCAGATTGGATACGGATAAGGTCCCCATCTGAACAACATAGGGCTCGTATGATGGGCTGTAGTGGTCGTCCTATTACCCTCTTGCTCAGTTGGTGAATTAAAGTAACAACAGCCTTGCCGAGCTTCATAAGAGGTACATTCAGCATTCCCAAGGCCCACAGTGCCCGTACCAGACAGTCGTTCACAGCTTCCTGGCTCATGCCGTTGTCACTACCACCTGTATCAAGTCGATGTACAAGGTGGGCGCAGCAGTAGAGAACCTGAGCTCAATCGACATTATAGTCACAACAGGACGCTACTACTACTACTACTACTACTACTACTACTACTACTACTACTACTACTACTACTACTACTACTACCACTACTACTACTACTACTACTACTACTACTACTACTACTACTACTACTACTACTACCAATTTCTCATCCCAAACACGCGTAGCTGCCAACGCCCACAACAAGGAGCTGAGAGCTTCCAAGTCCAGCCCACTAAATTGGCTCAATCGAGACGGTTGTGATAACTGAGCGGCCAGCTCAAATAGGCGTAGTCGAGAGGCTCTGAAGTAATAAGAAGAGGAGTAAACGAAGCCAGATGGACCCTGGCCGTACGTAGCAGCCCACGCTTCTGACGAGGACCAGACCGCCTCTGGCTCCGGTTGGGGCGTAGTGTCATCAGCCCAACCACTTTCGATGTGGAACTAATATACGAACATCAGCAGGTTGAGGCATCATCGTCAATGACTCCTGCTACATTAAGGCCATATGCTATAGCATAGTAGACATATATGCTTCGCTCCGCCGATTTTGATTTCATTTTCAATTGTCGTTGCGAGGCCTCTATGAAGTACCTTCAGCCCACACTTCCAACAACTACCCCAAAGTGATGATGACCACTACTCGCTGTCCCAGACACCCGATATTGCTATAGCCACCAGCACATCGGGGTCATCTACTGCTGTTCTAGTCGAGCAGAGTCGTGAGAAACTAACACCGATAGCAGACAACTACTACATACCCTACTACAGCGTCAAATTACACTTTCTTCTTCTCAATGCTAGTGTCCTTACACCGCAACATCGCCTTGGCCAGCTCGCACAGACTGGCAGAATCACATCTAAGGAAGATGAGGTTGCCACTATGAAGATTCAAAGGAGGCCCGTACTTGGACAGGTCGAAGTCATTGGCTGCGAACTCGAACAGTTTCCTAGACTTCGTCGTGGCTTCCGCAGAGAGTGAGAGGTCATGTAGAGAGCGACAGAGCACCTGCGAGGACGACTTTAACAGAGGCAACTGCACTTCACCATCCATCCTACGTCAGCGCGCAACTCCCGCTTCATCTTAGCGTAGTTGTAGGTACTCATATACTGGCACATTGACTCTAGCAGGTCCGGCCTGATAACAACAACTACTCGTGATAGGAATTCATAGACTTAGGCCTTGATCCCTGTGATACCA